TTGCATTATACTACTATACAACTGTTGTCGTTAGTATCTATTTCTTTATTTTTTTATTTATATATATATATATATATATATATATATATAGATATATATCTATATATAGTATATTTATTTACTGGGGTTTATTTTTGAACACTTTCCCCATGATGGTTCTCTTATTTCTTATTTTCAGTTTTTCCATCGACATTGCTAGTGATATGTATAAACCCATACCACTAGTTTGCTTTTCTTATCTGGAATTTCAATAAATTTTCAACCGTATTTACTGATTACTTTGTATCTAAGACCTTGTTTTTGAATATCATGGACATAATTGTTGGGACAAGCTATGAATTCAGGGTTCTCATTAGTTATATATGTTAAGTTTTTCTGTTTTCATCTTTCTCATGTTTTCGTCATTTGTAACGATCCCTTTGAAAGGTATTCATGATTCTAGTGCTTGCAACACGTACATTGGCATCTTTCAAGAGCCCAAACTGTAGTTGGTTGTCAATAGTCTCTACTCACGATAAATCAATGACATGCCTTTTGTAATCAAAAGAGATCCTACTAATTCCATCATTTTACCTGAATTTGGCAGAGACACTGGTGCACTCAACTTTGGAGTATTGTGAAGATGCTGATTTCACATTTCCTGTGAACTTCAATGACAGAGAGCACACCGTCTATGTTCGATGCAGGCCCCATCTTAGGGACTTTATGGATAGGATTGTGAGCATGTTTGAGATCATTGTCTTTACTGCCAGCCAAAGCATATACGCAGAGCAACTTCTGAATGTTCTTGACCCAAAAAGGAAGGTCTTTCGCCACCGTGTATATCGTGAGTCCTGTGTTGTGGTGGATGGTAACTACCTCAAAGATCTCACAGTTCTAGGGCGAGATTTGGCACAAGTTGCTATTATTGATAATTCTCCGCAGGTCAGCTGTTTTCTTGCTTTTGCTCCTTTCTCTTTGTTTTGTTCTTTCAAAAGTATGCCATTCTTCAGTGTTTTATGCACAACTCTAAAGTGGCATCTACCATATGGTCCTGCTGAGGGAAGTGGATACTAATTCCTCTGTCAGACTAGAGGAGGATGAATCCCATTTGGAGTCGGATATGATGTTTTATTATTTCTGGATTTTGTTTGTTTCACTTGGCATTAGTTTGGGCACTCCATTGGATAAGGAAAAATAGTGCTGAGTAAAGTTGATTTGCATGGAACGTGTTTTTTCGGGCCTGTATTTTTTTTTGGGCGATGAGGATGTTTGCCCCACAGCCTGCATCTTAGTGGATCTTTTTTCATGTGTATTTAGAAGGCATATGATCAAGAGAGTTACATAGTTGTGCTAAACACTATGGACAAGAAATTATTTTCTGGAAATTGAATTTTTTATTTTAAAATTTAAATTTTTATGGAATGACAGAGATTGAATGAGTAAGATTTTAAGTTTATGTTCTGTTATTGGTTCAGGCATTTGGGTTTCAAGTTGATAATGGCATTCCAATTGAAAGTTGGTTTGATGATCGATGTGATTCTGCTTTGCCTTCTTTGCTTCCTTTCTTGGAGAGCTTGGTTGGTGTGGAGGATGTGCGCCCCTTGATTGCACAGAAGTTCAATCTGAGGCAGAAGATAGCTGCTGCTGTTGATCCTTTAACTACCTTGGGTAAAGGAGACCCTTTTAGTAGGAACTGTTGAAATTTGTTTTGAATTATGCTGACTGTTATATGACTTTGTATGTTCTTGTTCTCTCTCTCTCTCTCTCACACACACACACGCACGCATGCGCACCTAGGCAAGGCATGCACATAAAGACAGCTTGATGCTTGGTCTCCTGCCCTCACCTACTCTATGAGGGCGTGTAAATGCTGAAGCTGCTTTATATGCTCAGTGTCTTTGAAAACCATGTATTGGCAACGGGGTCAGGTCTCCAAGTGGACCTGGACCTGGACCCGGACCCGACTGGACTTGAAGTCACCGGATTTGGACCATGACCAAAACATATAATGTGGGATCTGGACCCGACCGGAGCTGACCCAAACCAAAAATTAAAATATTGATATATTCAAATATATTTTATAAATTGGGACTTGAAAATATAATGCAGGATCTGGACCCAGACCCAGACCCAGACGTGACTTGTTGGGTCTAATTTTTTGACCCATACCTGGATGTGGTCGGGGCTATCCATTGGGTCCCAGGTTGGGTTTGGGTCCATTGCCATCCCCAAAAAACTTCTAGGCGAGGAGCTGTACAATGATCCACATGACCATCTAGAATCTACGGTCATGAGTAAACACCGTCCTACCACTGGGTCAATGGTGGTTGGAATAGGATCGACCAGAACATGTTTGTCCTCCCATTGATTGGTCATATAGATCATTTGCTACTGTCCCTCATGATAACATGCCCATCTTTTCTTGTGCTATGTGTAATCTCTTAATTTTGAGGATCATGGAATGCTTTAACATCTCAATTGTGGAGAATTTCATTTTTAATTGATTCAGTAACTGTTGGTCTCATTTTCTGTTAATGCTTTCTTCTAGATCAAATAACAGTACGTAGAAAATGTCCAACTTTATTTTCTATGATGTTTTTTTTGAGCTTTATTTGTTGTTCAGCTCTGGGAATGGAATTGGGAGGTAATGTTGCAATTTTCAATATGTTGAACAATGTTGAAGCCCACACCACTTAAAAGACATTTATCCACTGATGGTTGAGAACTATGTAATCGGGGCTAACGCGTTTATCCTTACTTTTTGGCCAGATTTGGATTGTATATCCGTATTCTTTGGCCTTAAAGATAGCTTAAACCAAAGAAGCGTCAGTTGAATTTCAAACGTTCAGTCGCTGCCCAGGGCTGGTGTGCTTGCTTGGTGCACGGTGATACGAGCTTGGTGTTTTCCATGATTTTGGAAAAGAATGGCATATTTTTAAGGAAGTCTATCAATTGAAACGTGTCTTTACAGAGGAATCATGTGTTTTGCTGAATTTTGTTGGATCTTGGGTTATGTAACATAGATGTAAGAGTTCTAAGACTTAGAAAGGGTTAGGGAGCTAGGTATGTACATCGCTAATTATTTTTAAGGATAAGAGATGGTTATTTTTTTTTTTTTAGGGATTTGTTGCCTTTTAGGTTTATTACAAAATTTGGGATTAATTACTGGGGCTTTTCGTAACTGTTTTCTTTTCTTTTTTGGCTATTTTTGGTGTCATTTCCTGTGATTTTAAAGGGGGTATTTATGGGTTTTGAGTAGGGTTAGACTTGAAAGTAGTTAATTTAATCCAAGGGTCTAGATTTATTTTTAAAAAAAGTATATTTTAGATTTTATGGGATATTTCATTTTAAGTTGCTATAATATACTTATCAAAAAGCAATTAGGCAGAAAATGACCGACTCGAGGCCATCAGGTCTTGTGATTCATAGTGAGTTGTGTGGCTCGGCGCATCGAGACGTGCAACTTGTGCAAACACTCCATGTCGTGTACATAGGTATTTTGATCATTTTTTTTTTCTGTGGATTTCCTTGAGCCACCAATTTGTTAACGGTGGGTTCGATTTGAGTGATTTTTAGACTGTTACAAAGCTTTCGGGGATTACTACAACTTGGGGTAGGTTTTGGATAGTGTTAGGATAATTAATTTGGGTTTAAGTTGACTATAGTTCACTAGGGTTTGTGTGGTCATTAGGGTTCAAAATCAAAGTTCTTAAGAATTTTCTTAGTCAGAATTTTCGGGGGTATCTACAAATTAGGGTTGGGTTGGTGAAGTTGAGGTGTGCAATTGAGGCTTTATGTGATTACCGCATACTAATAAAGCCGAAGGGCAAGTTCTATAGGACGATTGTGAGACATTATTGCTTTATGCGTTGGAATATTGGGCGGTAAATAAACAACACATTTATAAAATAAGTGTAGTTAATATGATGATGTTGAGATGGATAAGTGGCAAGACCAGATGGGATAGAATTTGATATGGATACATTCAGGAGAATTGAGGTGTGGCATCAATAGACGATAAAATGAGGGAAAGTGTACTTAGGTGTACTGGCCATGTGTAGTGCAGACTTAGTACAATACCTGTTAAGAGGTGTGAGTTAGTTCAAGTGGAATGGTAAAAAAAGGCAAAAGGTAAGTTCCAAAAAGATATGGTTGAAAGTAGTGAGAAAAGATATGGGGATTTATGACGGAACGTAAGACTATATAATTGGGTTAAGTTAACGTTGATTAAAATTTTGAAAAAATAATGTATATATCCGTTATATTTATCATTATTATGAGATTATTTTGAAGTTTACGTTATTACACGTTTTTCACTATCTTAAATTTCTTTCTTTAAAAAGATGGAAATACCTATTTTCGATTTTTCAAAAATAGAAATGAAATTGAATATGGTTTTTCCTCTTCTGTTGAACTTGAAACCATGACAATTATTTATGTTGAACTTAAAACCAGGAAAATTATCTTTATGTGAAAAACAATCTCTCTCTCCTTCTTTTTGAAAAATGGATAAAAGTGCCCGTTGATTTTGAAAAGGATTGACCTTAACTCACTGAATATTCCTATATAATATTTGCATAGTTGATGACTTGTGTTACCAAATGAAATGGGAAGATAGAAATTCTCACAGAACTTTGATGCATATGCTACAGCCTGGATTCCTTGGTGGTGATTTCACATACATTTATAAGTATGTGTGCAGCATGTCGCTTGTGATTGCAAAAGGCAGAAGAGCTTGTATGAAGGGCAATTTAATTCCACATATCTCCTGTTTCTTCTTCTGCTTTGCCATATTTATTCTTAAGCATGTGCGCAGCAGGGTACATGAGACTGCAGAAGAAATGTTGATACAGCATGCTTGAATCATCTGGTTTAATGCTAAATCTCGGCAAAAATTCCTATGAAAACTCGCCGTTCATTATGTGCAAAAAAAAAAAAATTAGAATCCTCTCCACTGCTAGCCCATTTTTCGAGCTCCATTTTTCACAGTTATTCCTTCTTAAGATTCAGTATTCCTAGAACCTTTTCCCTTTTTATCATGCAATGTGTTGCCATTTTTTGGGTACTTCTTCCTTTTAAGAAAATTTTTCGAAATTTGGTTGCTTGAGGCTATGTGATTCCATTGCATGGTTTCCTGTGCTATCTCCCCTCGCAAGGGGAAAATGAAGCTAGGGAAAACACTCTCTCACTCTCTATCACCTGTCTTTCTCTAACCCAACTGTTTCTCTCCCTCTATTGCCTCTTTTTTTCTCTCATGCTAATATTTTGAGCATTGCAGTTTTTGAAAAATCGAATTTAGTTTCATTTCAGTTTTTTAAAAACTAAAACTCAGTATTTTCATTTATTTTTTTAAAAAATTGTTAGGATGGCGAAAAAATAGGTATAGATGTAAATACAGGAACTTGGAGATAATTTTATAATAACAATAAATATAACGAATAACTTTAAAAATTTTCTTCCTTTTTCTTTATTTTATCACCCGGATCACTTACAAGTATCTTAATATAATTAATAAAAACACAAAGAATGCCAAAGACTCTCACTTGCTTAACATCAAAACAAAATCTCATTGATAACATGAATTTGAAAATTACATAATAATTGAAATAAAAATCAAGAAGACATGAAATAAAGCAATACTACATGCCTTGCCTTATTTTACCTCAAGAACTTCGGACAATCCACACCGGGTCTCTTCCACCAATGACGTACGGGATCTAGGTCCAATTTTGTCTTATAAATTGGGAAACCTAGATAAAACCATCACAGCATAGCGTGTGATAGGCCTAGATGCTCAATATATGAGCATAACTCAACACAAATGAGCTGGGGTGTGCCACGTCGTGTGGCTTGGGTGTCACACCCCTTAGGTTTCTTAACTTTTTTAAACCCTAAATTAGATAGAGAGAAATAGAGAGATATTAGAGAGAGGCGTGTTAGCCTGAAGTTCAAAGAGAGAGAGAGGCTAACTCAAGGTGTAAAGAAAATAATTCCCATAAAGAGTATTTATAACATAACGGTTAGGGTTTTTAGGGTTAGGGTTTTTCTATCATTATCAGATTCAATTTTGACTTTTGATCATGGAGTTATGTGATGTGAAGAGATCTCATCTATTCATTTCTTAACTCAGCCATTATGATTAAAAGGATTGATGTAGAACTATTATCTCTCAGTTTCCATAACTCTATTCCAGTACAAAATATTGTAGAGAAAAAACTATCTTTATGTAAATCAATTTCAAGTAATCTCTTCTATTTTCCTATTTAAAATCAATCAGATACTCAACAAAACACTTTTCATAAATTTCAAACAAAGTGCATGGCTTCTTTCATAGGGCACTAGAATAAGAAATAGAGGGGGAAGTGGTGCATCCCACTCATATGAGGCCCTTGTGGCCCCCATGCCCCACATGTGGTGGGCCCAAATTAATCCCAATCGCCCCCCCCCCCCCCCCCTTCCCCCCCCCCCCCATACCATAATTTATATTTTAGAATAGTAAAAGAAATTTTGTAAAAGCATTTAGTATTTTATATTCCTATCTGATTAAAATAAATACAAAAAATTAAGTTTTTTTATTTAAAAATTATTTTTTAATAAAATAAAATATCTAGAGAGGTCTAAAGATTCATTTTAATTATCTAAAAAATAATTAAATATATTTAAAAAGATTTGATGCGAACTGGATCCAAGAAATTATGAATATAATAAATTTATTGAGTATTTATCCTTTCTAGAAATCATATATCACTGTACCTTCTTAATTTGACTCAATGGTTCCTATGACCCACTGCAATTCACAATGGTTCATGTTTGGAGTATTAAAGTCAGTCAATAAATGAAGAGGACACGTCCTAATCCATGGATTACAAGTCCCTCCTTAAAGACAAATCCAACGGCCATTCCAGTGCTATGCTTCATAGGTCCTTCCAACACAGTCTAGTGTCGCATGGAGTAATCTCTTCGATATATGTACACAACATATATCTTTATCAACAGGTTCCCTAGCCAACCATCATGGCACAACTCCGATCTTATCAAATGATAACCTAACATCAAAACCCTTATTGGTTGTACTATATATTTTGAAAACCTCTTGCCAAAACCGTGTCCTAAAAAATTGGGGTTGGGGGTGGGGGAAGACATATACTCATTCTCTATAATTATAATCTCAAATAAATAATTATAATCTCAAATAAATCTTCAAGTCCATAGAAAACCGTCGGATTCCTTCTAAGATAGAAAAAAATGATGTTAACTCTTTCTTCACCTTGTTCTTTATTGTCCAAATTACAACATTTATCCCTTTTTTTTTCCTTTATACCCTTGACATGTATTCATGATGCATGATCGTGACAATCTCGAGATGAAGATCGATCAAATCCAAACCACAAATTTGTTTTTTTAAAAAATGATAGGGAGTGAGGATCAGTCAAATTCTAATATGAGGCTATATATGTTCAAAATGAGCAAATATGTTATCAGATCAGTGCAGAACCAGCTTTAGTCTAGAAA